TATTATATTTTTTATTATTAATTATATATTAATTTATATAAAAAATAAAATAATTAATATTTATTTTAATATTTATGGCACATAAATATTTTAATTAAACAAATGCAATAAGTTTTCCACAGGACACTCCTTACATAAAACTGTTTATTGCAGAACATGTTCACAGCCGGAACTGACACGTCATCAAGTACAGTAGAGTGGGCCATAGCGGAGCTAATTAGACATCCGAAAATCTTAGCCCGAGTCCGACAAGAGTTAGACTCGGTTGTCGGTCAAGACCGCCTCGTCATGGATTCGGACCTTCCTCAACTAACCTACTTCCAAGCTGTAATCAAAGAAACCTTCCGGCTCCACCCATCGACGCCACTCTCCCTCCCCAGGATGGCCGCCGAGAGCTGCGAGATCAACGGCTACCACATCCCCAAGGGCTCCACGCTCTTACTCAACGTGTGGGCCATAGCGCGGGATCCAAAAGAATGGTCGGAGCCGCTGGAGTTCCGACCCGAGAGATTCTTACCAGGCGGCGAGAGGTCCAATGCCGATGTCAGAGGGAATGATTTTGAGGTCATACCGTTTGGTGCTGGGCGGAGAATCTGCGCCGGAATGAGCTTGGGGTTGCGGATGGTGCAACTGCTGACAGCGACACTAGTGCATGCGTTTGATTGGAAGCTGGCCGACGGGTTGAAACCAGAGGAATTAAATATGATGGAGGCCTTCGGGTTGACATTACAGCGAGCTGTGCCATTGACGGTGCACCCCCGACCGAGGTTGGCCCGCGATCTTTATTGAAGAATCTAAGCGCTGGGCCAGGGAGAACTATGACTGTTAATTTAAAAAAATGTTTAAAACCTCAAAAGTTTATTAGTTATGATCGTAAGCCTTAAATTAATTTTTAATTACTCATTTTAAAATTTTTAATGTAACGTCGTTTAAATTTTTAAAATGATTTTTAAATTTAAAAATGTGTGATTAAAAATTAAAAAAATTAAAACTATTAAAAATAAAATAGAGTAATAAATATTATTTTTTTATTAATTATCAATTATTTTTAATAATTAAATTAAAACTTAAATAAAATAATACTATTTAAAATTAAAATTTTATTTTTAAAAAAATTAAAACTATTAAAAATAAAAGAATAGAATAGTTAATTCGTCGTGGAATTGTGAACATAGGAGGAAATAAAGGTGCTCGTCCGGGCTCTGGCGGATGCTGGAACCAAGCCGGTGAACTTGGCGCAGTT